TTATTACCTATTTGATTTAGAACAAAAATACAACAGGTTCAATTTATGATCTTCAAAGATGTCCTTCAACAAATATACTTGATACGCCTACGTTCTATTCAACAGTTCGTCGCTCATTATCGTAAACAGTATCTGTACAATTGTATAGTTTTTCATCAACTTGTTGTAATATGGCATGCCATTCAAAACGAGATGATATTCCCATATATATGATAAATATGAAGTTATCTTATACAATGTTAATAGTACTTTAGTAAGTAATTAGTTTTTTATTTTTATTGTTTTTGTTTTTAAATAATTTAATAAGTTTAGAGCGAAAATGTATCACGATTGACTATAAAGGATGGATTTTTTTTATCAAGTATTGCTTGGTGTTCAATCCGTGGTTATTTTCTTGTTTTGAGTTGCATGACTCGTGCATTATTGGATACAGATTTAGATATAAATATTACGATTAAAAAAATTCATGGTACTCAATCAAATCATCTTATTTCTTTGACTTATATTGTACAAGATAAAAGTATTTTTATTTGTTGTCATGATTCAAAAGAAATTATACGACAATATGTTTCATTAACAAAATAGAATTTAATAAAAATTTGATCAAAAGAAAACTTAGTAATAAAGATGATGCTGGTAAAATATAATAAATCATATTTTGATTTTTATTTAATTTTGATTATTACTATTTTAGATATTCAATATGTTCGTGTTAATCTACCTGGTTCACAACTTGATCGTGTTATTAAAAATAAAAACATTCAATTTCGTTTTGTTCTTTATTCACTGGATTGGGTGTTGGTGTGGGTGGGGGTGGGTGTGGGTGTGGATATTTTCATCATTCAGACCCACACCCACACCCACAGCCACACCACACCCACACCCAAGCACGAAGACGTGAACACATTTCTCGAGAATTACGTATTTTGAATATATTGAATGAACCAACAACAACAAACTTTGAAAAAGTAATGGCTGTAGCTCAAAGTATTATATTAAAAGATTCGTAATTTACATTTTCTTATTATTCTTAAAATTAATTGTCAATATTAGATTTAAATTATACGTGTTCAAGCACTTATTATCTAAAAATAATACTTCTGTCGTTCTTTTGTTGTTATTATTTATAATTATATAATATTTGAATTATTCATATAATCAATAAAATCTCTTTGGCTATTGTTACATTCCTTATGTTAATACTATAAAGTTATGCATTGTTCTTGTAAGTCATAAGAGATTTATTCGATATTGTCATGGGGAAACAAATGTCATTAGGGAGCAAGTGTCATAGGAGAGCAAGTGTTCAGAGAGCTATTGCCCTTTGAGAGCAAATGCCGCGGAAGCAACTATCGCTGGAGAGCAATTGTCTGGGGAGCAATTGTTGCGGGAGCAACTGTCCAGGGAGCATCATACATGGATTCAAACTAAGACATATCAAAAGTGCGACACATTCAAGTACGACACATTTTCGAAATGGAGTCTGCGACACATTCGTGCCCGACACATAAATACGACACATTTTATTTTAGTGTGTACACTCATCCTATTTCATTTTAGAGACTGTTTCATATAAATATGCTGCGCAGAGCGTAGATTTGAACTTAAGACAATTTTATATCGAATTTACAATAAGTTTATTTAAAAAGTCATAATCCAACGTTATTAATGAGTTAAATAATGCCGTAAGAAATATCTACTTTAGATTTCCTGGAAAGTCAATAACGAGCATCTATGTGATATTCTGAATATTTTAACAAAAAATTCTCGGTTTAAAGTTTGTTAATCATTAGATATCAATAAATTTTATTACTGTTAATTTAAAAGAAATATGACTTAAATAAGTTGCAAGAAAGAACTTTTTCAGTCTTTTTTTCTTTTGTTTTTCTTAAATCTCAATAATGAACAAATTGTACCAACTGGAAAATTTAACCATTCTTTTCTATCAATTCTATTTCGATTTGATAGTTCATCATCAGGAAGACGTTCTTTACCACGTGCACTTCTATTAATAACATCAATTAAAGCAATAGCCATACCTTGTGAAATGATAAGTGTTATTAATTGTATAGAACTTAAACGTGATGGTTGAGTATCAAAAATTATTGCAAATGGTGTAATATGAAACCATTGTGCATGCTCAAGATCTAATACAGTAAAAATAATATTAAATATAATACCAACTATAATATAAGTGAATATCGATAGATAATATGCTCTTGTTCCTTGATTTTCTCTAACAGCAGCTAAATATTGTACATTTTTACAGACATATAATAACAAATAACGTCGTATAGTAGTCCATATATTTAGTACTGAAACAATAATACAAACACATGATAAACATATTATATATAATTTTTGCATAATATACATATATTTTAATGATACTGATGTAGTAAATACACTCGTAAGATCAGTAATTGATATCATCCAACTAAACCAAACAATACCTTGAATCATGAATATACTCAATAAACGTAGAATACTAATAATATAATTTATTCTTCTATTCGTACCATAAGCATCACTGATTGTAACACCTGTATCTATTATTCTCGAATCATGTACAACTGATATATTTCCTGTAATTAATGTGAGATATGCTGCATGAGTATCTAATAATATACGATCATAAGGTTGTTCAATTTTAAATAAAGTTTTTAATATCCAAAAAGACTTTTGTATAGGTTCAATTAAAAACATCATAGGAGCAATGATAAACATTTGAAAACAAGCTAATCTTATACCAAATATAATACCTATAGTATAGTTATTTAATGTTATATAATCATATACTTTAGATTTCTTAACATGAGAATATTCCTTATGACGTGCATATTTTATTACAATATTAAATTGTGTTATCTTCCAATCAAATATAAAGCGTATTATACCAGGAATATTATCGAATATACCACGAAAACAACTATAATAAATTTTATTATGACAATCAATCACAAGATTACAAACTGCTGATGTAAATTGTGCGATAATTAAACAATTCTGTTGTTTAATACATGATATACCATCGAATTGTTTATCTTGTATATCAATAGCAAGTGTCTTTAAATCTGCAATTAATAAGTCTTGAATTTTTGATTGATAATGAAATTTTTGAATAAGATTCCATGGATAATGTTTATATTTATATAATTTAGATGGTTTATTTAATGTTAATCTACGATATTCCCAAAATGTTTTCAATTGTGAATCGGTTGGAAATATACCTAATGCAAAATATTCACTTATTTTAGCACGATCATTTGAATTCATTTCATTAAATGGATATTTATATTTACGAATAGATAATAAAAATTCTTGCACTATTAATCCTAATTTTTTTATATGTTCACCATTATCAAAACCCATTCGATTCCATTGATTTGCACCTAAATGTATAATAGTATTTAATAAACGATATAAATATTTACTACTTCGATAAATAATTCTTCCATGATGAACTTGTTTGTTCGAATAATTTTTAATATATTCTAAGAAATTTCCATATTGTTCATTGAATGATTGATATAATTGATTATTTGTCAGAAGATTTGTACGTAATGTTTTATCTTTAACATATGAAACATCAGCATGATTGTTATATTGTTCTACATTGACATAATATAATGAACCTTCTGCAACACATGCATCATTTGCAAAATAGATGGCTTTGGAAAACTTATGTCGCATAGAGACAGTAAGTGAATCGATATATAACATCTCATTTGGAGGCATTCGAAGTATTGGATGTAAAAATGAATCATCATATAGATCTTTTCTTTTTCGAATTTCTCGTTCAAGATTACGAGCTTGACGAAGATATGAAATAAATAAGATAGTACTATGTTCCATTAAAATAGGTTTCATTTCATGATGGATTTTATTCCATAAAATTTCAAATTTTGTTGTATCATATCGACATGTTGTGACTGTTGGTACAATATTTGTAATTTCATTTAATGCAGAAAGAATTGATTCATTTGGTTTTGATATCTGTGTAAGTAATTTTTTTGTATATTTCCAATATGTTTTATCAGCACTATGAAAAAATTCTTTTAATGATGGATCAGAATCATTTTTTGTTATTGTATTCATATAATCTTGCCATTCTTTTCCAGTCATAGATTTTCGTAATTTAACTATGGACATTTTATTTTGTTTGTAATCATTGACTTCAGTAAAGAAATAATATGGATAATCACAACATATAGTCATAAATATACCTAATCCGGTTCCCTGTACATTAAATATAGATTCAATTCTATTCAAATGTCTCGGATATAGATTTGTATCAAATACAATAGCACATGGCAAACACCAATGTGTAGAAAAAAATTCAGTGAATATCACACATGCATCTATATCAACATCACTACCATCCGTTGAACTTAAACGAATATCATAATCTGATTCAGGATCTTTACTACCCGAATCATTTTGAATAATTAATTGATATGGAAATAAATCCATTAACTGTTGTAATAAATCATCAATGTAAAATTTACGATACATACAAAGTTTTAGCATAAATTTAGTTATATAATTTGGTGTTAATTGCTTTACAGTATCGATTATATATCGGGAAATATCATTGGAAATGATATCGGTATGTAAATCATCAACAAAGAGTTCTACTAGATTATCCCAGTTTCTTATTTCATGTATTATTTCACTACATGTATATTTACTAGTAAAAATAATATTATCATGTTCATCCAAAAGAATAATAGAATCGTTTTCGATCTTTGGTATGCGAAGTTTAGTGATGGTATTTTCAAATAAATTTCGCTCTAAGCTTTGTATTTCTTCATTTTTTGTCGATGTGCATCCAGTGTTAATCATTCTATCGATGCTCAATGTAATAACATTATCTTTAATCTTATCTTCCTTCAGCCAGTCAACAAGCACTAGACGATTTTGAGATTGAGATAATTGTTGATGAAAATCTTGAGATGAAAGAAAACAACAGACACCGCCCACCATCTCAATCGACATAGCTCCGATTGTCTAATGAATAATTGACAAAAAAACAAGGAAATTTATTTAATTTTATATTCACTCACCATTGAGAGATTATTTTCTATACATTGATAAATGATATCACCTGATGTGAGATTGTAATTTTCTAACAAAAACATGGCGATTTGTTGTGCATGAAAAATAAGTTCGTTATAAGTGAGAGATTGTTTGCCGAATTCGACAGCTACTTTTTGAAGATAATTATTCAATTGTTCATTATTAATTCTCTTCATTGTTTCGAATTTGATTAAGACAATGTACAGAACATAGTCAGTGAAATTGTTGCTGTTATATAAAAAAAAAGCGGATATATTAATGAAAACCTTCAAATTTATATAAATTGAAATATTATAGATTACAAATTATAAAGTAATCTTCTGTTTTCTATATTCGATTGTGAAAAAGTAGTCATGTGTTCTTTTATCGTACTACTTAAACTATACTGTTTATTAACAAAAAACGCCCTTTTAATAATACAATATGACGATATTTCGATCGTATAATAATACCACGTGTGTACATAGACATAATAAATTTGAATAATGTTGTTAGAGGAGGACGATGTACAGTCATACACATTCTTTTTCTCTTCTCTTCTCTCTTTTCGGTCACGCATCGTTGATGTTTTATCATCTTTTCTAGTTGTATTAGTTTTTCTTTGTGATATTTACTGTCTATCCATTGACTAGCTTCTTCTTGGTTCATGTCGATTTACTTTTCCCCTAGGGTAAAGTGTGGAATCTTATAATCCAACATGCCTCGATTCCGCTCATTCCCATTTGTTGTGAACATGAGTAATAAATATAATTTTATTTATTTATAGTATTTCAATACATTCTGCTATGAATTTTCTGATAATATAAATGAAATCAAACAGTATGAAAAAGAATAATCCTGATGAAAATATAACACAGTAGAAATTGAACTATCATAAATATTAATATGCGTCTCGGTATATAAATGTTATGCTTAATATACTATCTTGAAAGTAAGGATGAGCGCAGTCTCACCCTCAATTGTGGGGGAGGGAGAAATAACAGACAAGTATCAATAAACATGTCTATTTAATATGCGATCATATTAGTCGAATATGAATTTTTTCCGTCAAATTCGCTCGTTTTAGAAGGAAACAGAAAGAAGAAGGATATGCGCTTTTTTTCTCGTTCATTATATAGATTGATAACCAACTTGTGAGTCAATCATTGAATATAATATGATTGTACCTATATATGATCACTTTTTATCTTATAGAAATTTTTAAAGAGGTAAAAGAATTTCTTTTTTTTCAGAGCGTTTAGTTTTCAAAAAAAAATCATTTCAATAGTTTAAATTCATTGAATATTTTGTATAATTTTTATTCAAAAATGAATGAAATCTATCTGTCAGGGAAAAGTCTAGTTTATTTTTATTTCAATCTTTCGTCAAACTATTGTCAGTATATTATTTATCTGGATGGAAGAATTAAGTAAATAAATTATCAAAAGATTTCAAGTTTAAGCAAGATATGAAAAAGAGTACATAGTTAGCAAAGTAATGCATAAAATAATGACATTCTTGGAAATAATAAGACACTTCCAGATAAAGAATTTCTGATGTTATATTAGACATTTCTATAACGACTTTTTTCGTTGGAAAATATGTTTCTCAGTCTATATTTTTGAGAAATATCTGAAATGAAAAATGAATGAAATGACAGAGATGGGAGAAATAGCAGTCACTCATTTTTATCGAGTCGCTTTTGTCGTTCTGTTGTTATACAATATTATCCATGCGAGAGAAAATTCGTTTTCATATCTGAGTGATTCTGGTGTCTATTGTACCGTTTGACCTTCAAAAATAGCCCTGTTTATTTCTCAGCTCCTGCTTGGTCAAAATGATCGAAATTTATACCGAAGTATCTATCGCTCATACTCTATCTCCAGCGCTAAAATCAGCTTTCTACCTATTACCGTTCACGAGTAGTGTTCAAAACAAAGTCACTTTTTCCTCTTTTTCATGTGTTTTTATGATGGTTTCACATTTATTGCTTTTCTTTCTTCCTTTTTCTCAAGCTTGAAAGACAAAAGTAAACGATGTTTAATTAACTTTCTTATATCATTTTTGAATTCTCTATTCGCTCATAACTTTATTTTCACTCCAGCTATTGTCATTTCACAGAAATTTGACATTCTATCAATGGTTCCAGAAAACGTCAAAAAGTGTCCCACCCCCTTTTCAATCTACTGTCAAGCCAAGAACCGCTTTAAGTCAATTTTTTTTACATAAAAAGATCCATCAATTTGGGCACTGTCGAGTGCTGAAAACCGCAAGTTAATACCTTTTCCGTTTTTGAATAAGGGTGTGGGTGTGGATGTGGGTGGGGGGTGGGGGTTCGTGTAGATCTTCTAGTTTGTCTTCATCCTCACCCACCCACATCCAGTGAATCCCCTTCTACCTTAAAGGGCTTCCGGATAGGCTCTAAAAGCTCGGCCAAACCATTTTGGTAACCGTGGTGCACGAACAGGTATCATAGATTCATCCTACTCAGCTGATATGTATTTTGAGTCTGCCCGGGTATGTATGCCGCTCACGTCCGCCACGCCACTACCGGGGTAGTCCTTGGCCGCGCGCGCGCGAGTATAATAGATATAAAATTCATTCGTGGTTATTTATTTGAAAGAAGTGATTAAAAAATAAACAACGTTTATGAGTCTATACGATAGGAAAAGCGTTGAACTCGATTATTTTCGATATCGACGACATAGAGATTGCCATGACGATCGAAGGACAAACTCCTGAGATACTTGAACTGATTTTCTCCTTCTCCTTTACCGTTTCCACCCGCAATAACAGTGCCCTGTTTCGCTCCTTTAGGCCAACGCATTACTCCGCAGTTCTCCGAGTCTGCCACATAGAGGGTACCCAACGCGTCGACGAACAGTCCGCGAGGACGCCACAATTGTGACAGAGCTTTCCCTTCGCCATTACCTCCAGCGACGACAATCCCTTCTGTTGCACCTTTATTCCATTTCATCACACGATGATTGGAGAGATCTGACACGTAGACAGCCTGTTCTCGATCGACAAATATGTATCCGGGCGTCTTCAGTTGATTGAGACCAGCACCTTCTCCATGGCCACCAGCCACGAGAGTTCCATTCTTGTCACCCATTTGATATCGTCTGACTTCTTTTTTTTCGACGTCAGAGACGTAGAGACATCTCTGATCATCCATGGCCAATCCACGACAAGCGATGTTGTCGATGAAGATTTCTCCTTGAGTGGTGCCACTACGACGAGACCAACGTACGACTCGTCGATTCCATCGATCGCAGATAATGAGACTATCGGTCTCTTTGTCGATTAACACATCAGTTGGTCGATTCAATTGATCCAATCGATTTCCTTGATCATGGCCGCCAGCTACTACTTGTCCATTCGTGTCACCCATTTTCCTTTGGATGATACGATTATTGTCGTAGTCAGCGATGACCATCGTTTGATCATCATCAACGAAGAAACCGTGAGGTTTGCGGAGTTGATTGGTGCCACTGCCTTGCCCGTTACCTCCAGAAACAGTTGTACCATTCTGTGCCCAACGTGCATTCAATGGAATATTAGGAGTGACTATAAATGAACAAACAAATGAAAAGGGAATCATTATTGTAGAGATTACCGGGCTCTCTGCCGTGAAATTCGTACAGAAAAGAGAGATTTTTTTAATGAAAGAATAGTCTTTTTTTTGTTTTTCTCTATAGAAAAAAGTAGATTTTCATCTCAATATATTTCATAGTGTTCATTGTTTGACATAGTATGGAAAGGATCCTACTTGCATTTCATATTACCAAGATTTTTGTCTCATCGTCCAGTATAAATTCTATCAAGATTTTTTTCTGGCGATTAAAGTGGAAAACTGCTAAAGAATAAATCTAAAGCATAGTCGTCATTTCTCACGATTCTGCAACCCAAGCAGAGAAAAATTTTGAAAAACGCGTTCAAACGCACAAAAAGGGCAAAAAAACTGGGCGGTTTTCGCTGACAGTCGAGAGCCGCGATTGTGATTCAAACACACGCACTTTTTGTCGATTTTATGACTTTTTTGTCAGTTTAAACGCGTTTTTGAAAATTTTTGTCTGCTTGGGAAGAAGGATTTACTTCTGACACTTCTCTAGAGATTTCGTTTTTGAATAAGCAATGCTAGTGGATACCTAACATCAACATCGGTTCTACGCAGGATATTGCACCGACGACTGAGGCAAGTTATTGCTGTAGAATTTTCGAAAATCTCAGCTTTAGAATGGCCTTTAGGATTAAGAAGCTAGATTGAATGAGGATCTGATCAAGATTTGTCGGAATAAGAAGAGGCAGGATACCTGTGTGATACGAAGGAAAATGGAATTCCAAGAAAAAATGTAAGTTTTCCTCGGGAACTAGTCAGTATTTCCAATGGCCTTCTGCTATAGATGATCAACATGGTTTCGGAACTCTGTCTAGGTATTTCAGAAAATGACTGGTGGAATATAAAATTTGAACAAAGGCTTCCTTGACATACAGAATTTCTGAAATTCCAGAACAGAGCTTCTAGATTAGAAAAGGTTTTCAAGATTATACTACTTTTTTTCTACAAGCCCGCTAAAACGTTCTTCAAAACTCGCACAAAAGTATTTCTACTCGTCCTTTACGTACTTTTTCAAGTAATAGTTAAAGCTACAAGTATTTGTTACGAGTGCTTGGTACTTGTACTTCGAGACCAGAGAACGTCACGCGTCCTGCAGAATACAGGATGCATGACAACCTTTTTTTTAGACACAAGACGTGCTGGAGAATATATGAGTTCTACAGGACGGATTTGAAAAAACGTCGTACAGAAATAACTGATCTATACAAAAGAATTTAAGATCGACAGAGAGCTCGACACAACGTTTATTGATTAGTTGTAGAGCAAATGACAGTTATAGCATAAAGAACCTTCTAGAATTAACACCTCTTAGATGCAATTTCTATTATTTTTTCAGATATATGTTGTTCTCCATAGTGGAGAGAAGAGCACATGCTATACCAGCGACTAGTACTTCGGTGGAACGGTTATTTAGTTCCGCCGGATTGACAGTTAATCAAAGACGAACACGTTTTTCATCAAGTCAAATTGATAACATATTATTTACTCGTTCGTACGAGAAATTCAAGAACAAGAAGTTAAAAGAAGAACCTATTCTTTCTCTTTTTTATCTATTTCTTTTGATCGCATTGCGAACTCTTTGTCTTAATGTTTCTTCTGCTATTCTTTTGTTCATCTCATAGATGTCAGTATTCTTTTCTGGTATTTTCATTTCTGTTGCAAAAAGTGTGATAAGGTTTATTGGCAAGATTATTGTGAATGTTTTTTTTATAACAACAGTACTTGTAGGATATTTGATGTTGCACCTCATCTTCGATATCGATCAGATTGTGAATCCTATATCCTTATGCTTATCCTCTGATTCTTTTTTTCACCTTATGAATGTCAAGTTCTTTTTGTTCATTTCATTTCTGCTAGAAAACACGTGATAAGATTAGTTAACATGATAATGTAAATGATTTCTATAAAAATAGTGCTTACATGGTATTTGACATCATATCTCATATTTAGACAATTTTTTATCTTTCTGAAGAATGCAATAAAAGAGTCGTACTGCATGCCGGCTCTTTGTCCTGCAAGATGTGTTCTGTCAGGATGAACTTTTTTATGTTCTGCAATATGTCCTGTGACATTCTCTGTACGAGATAAATATCGGATGAGCCAAAAGTTTTGCGACATTTTTTATTTTGCATGTATCTCCGTTCAGGAACATAGTAAAAGGCTGATTGATTTTTTTCAAAAGAGGTGCCATTTAATACTCTATCAGAATT